ATGTTGCCCCCACATGGTTTTAAGGCTGTGTTGTCAAACTTTGGCCATTTAAAGAGGAGGGGCTTTCAACCCCAAGTTTCCCCAAGCCGGCCATGGGAGTTGAAGTCCACTCATCTTAAAGTGGCCAAGTTTGGACAACACTGGTTTAAGGTATATAGTAAATATAAGAAGGGTAGGACTGGCAGAGAGAACAGTATCAGTATTCAAGGCCAAAATGCTAGCAATCTGAGATAGAGAGGTGGCACCCCTCAGTTGAAAGTAAAGGAGACTCAGAGCTCATTAGGAAAGGAACAGTGGAAAGTGAACAATCTGGGTTAATGTTAATTAGCAAGACAAAGTTAATTTCAACACACTTGCTTCGTGAATTCATAGCTGATGGCAAGGAAGTGAAAAATGTTAGTTTTATTTTCTTGTGCTCGAGAATAGATAATATGTTCAAGAAGGGAAGAGGAGCCCGATGCTAGGAAGAAAAGCAGTGGCACGCTAGGATCAGACCATGCAGAAGGATAGTTCAATCACAACAAGAATCGGAAGAATTTTCCCAGTTGTAACATACAGCTGTAAAATCCAGGTACTGAGGAAGAGCAAGAGAAAGAAGAGAGATGTGTTCAAATTATGCGTCTGGATATAGCTGCTAAGGGTACTGTGGATTTCCAGATCTACTCAGTCATTCCTGGGCCAAATAGAGGCTGAGTGTTCCCTGGAGGGGACGATTAGGAAGCCGAAATGCTCATACTTTGGGCAGGACATCCGAGTGGATGGTGGAATAGAAAAGGTTGAATGACAGTAGAAGACAATGGAGAGGAATGGATGGGATTACAGAGACTGTTGGCATGTTGGAAATAGACAAGGATGAAGTAGGAGACAATGGAGGAAGTGAATGGATGGGATTACAGAGACGGTTGGCATGTTGAAAGAACTAGGTATCACCAGGCACAGGTCAAGATGGCAAACATTTGTCCATACCATCTCCAGGAGTCAGACCCACATCTAATTAACTTACTGAATAAACCATTATTATCTGAGTTTGGCACCTCAAACATCTTACGGCTTAATGCGATATGTGAAGCTGGTCAGTTGATGCTTTGAAGCTCCTCTTTCTGCGAGGCGGTTCCAGCTTTGAGATGGAAATGGCACTGGCCACAGAAAGATAAATTTCAGGCTGTCTCCCCTAGCCCTGCACCCCTCACCCGTTTCCTTGCGCCCACCTCCTCTTTTTGCCACAGTGACGATGACATCGTTTTTGAAGACTTTGCCCGGCAGAGACTGAAATGCATGAAGGACGAGAAGGAGGAAGAGGAGGTGGACGGGACAAACTCGCCGCAGCTGAACGACAGATAAACTGCTTGTCTCCCCGTGTTTCTCTCTCTCCACGTCTAACACCCGAGCACTAGATTTCTCCTCTTTTGTATAAGTTTTTGGAAGTTGCTTTCTTTTTAAAACGTTGACCGCCTGCGGGGAGATCAGCCCTCCTGCAACGCTGGCCTGGGCTGGAGGTCAGCCTCAAGTCCCAATTTTGGTGATGGGCTCTAAGAATTGAGCCGCATCGAAGAGCCACGCTTAGGGCATGTGTGGGTGTGCATCTGTGTCTGTGTGTGTGCTGGGAGGGGGACGCTGTGTCATGACTGTACTCCGCTTTCTGCTTTACCGGGGAGGAAGCATAGGTTGAGAGCAAGCATTCCTCCTCGTTACAAAACCCAAACTCGGGACCAAATGCTAGGAGCGACAGGAGGCAAATGAAAGAACTTCTTCACGCATGGCCAGAAGATGGCGAGAGGGCCATTTGTGGGGGGGTTTGAAAGCCTCGTGAACGAGGAGAGGTCCCTTGGCAGTTCTTGAGCTTCAGAGGGGCAGAGGTGCTGCCAGAGGCTGCAAAATGCATGGGGGGGGGGATTTGGACCAAGCCAGCAGCCACTCCTCCAGACATGGCCATCATGTCTCCTTGCCAAAATAAGGAGTGACGGCTGGCAGTTCCAGGTCTTCAGCACTTTTTACCCATCCTGGCTTTCAGAGCTTAGGGGTCACTTGGCTAGCTTGAGACACACTGGGTTCCCCTTGCTCGGGTCAAGCTTTAATGCCAGCCTACGCTCCAGGGCTACAAAAGCCGAGCCAACTCCTATCGCCAAAGCCACGGTTCAGCCTCTGAGCCTTCCTGCGCTCCTCCAGGACTGGCTAATCCTGGAGGTGGCTCACCTCCCCTTCCACAGCCTCCCTCTTCGCCATCTGCTGCCCCAGGACCGAGTGCCACGTTCCTGGCCAACTGGCACCATGCTGTAACCTCTTCTCCAGCAGACCTGACTTCCTGGCTGGCAGGTTCATGCGACACTCTTATTTTCTGGGTTTGCACAGGACCCAGGATCCAGCTGACTCACAAGGAGGATTCTCACAACCTGCTAAGCACAAAACACCAGCCAAGTTTCCCCCTTCCTTTCTCCTCTAAAAATGCCAGAAATTTGGGCCCTGCTCTTCCTGGCTGTGTCTCCAGGAGGTTATGTCACAACACCATTTTCCCATCTCTGAAAAAGGACAGGGTTTCGGTTGCACAGACCTGGTGTCGTCCCCCCCCCCCCCATGGACTCTCTTCTTGGCAGAACGATGTCATTTTCCTCATTTTGAACGTTGAGCTTGGATGGGTCTCCTGGGATGCTGCTGAACCAAAATGCGATTTGCATCTTTGGGGATTAGCATCCTGTGTGAAATCATCAATGGGGTTGGTAAACCAGAGTTTATCCTCTGAATCCAGTTAGTTGTGGTTTGTTCAGTGAACCGTAGTTACTAAGGGTTGGTGTGTGGCTTGGACACTGCCTGCGACTTGAAAAAAGGTTTGGACAGAAATAACACATTAAAACGGTCATTGGCCCACCTGCCCACCTGGTTCAGCCGCGCCCTCTAAAAGCTGATGGGTCCCAGCCCAGGCTAGGGGTCTGAAGACTTCACCCGAGCCCCAGATGGGGGGGCAGCGTCCCCACAGCCTCCCCCAGAGTTGATGATGATGGATGAGTGTTGGCCTGTCTTCACCCCATCGTGGTGTGTGACCCTGGGGTCCTCGCAATGTGCCCTTCCAGACTGGGGGAACATTTGGGGCTCCCCACTGCCCCCCACACTGAGATCAGGGCAGGGATCAAGTGCAGTCATGGCCGCCCCGCTCTCGGCAGCATCCGCGCGCCTGCCGGCCCTGCGCTACGTCTAGCTAGTCCAGCTGCGTGGTCCATTTGCTAATGTGGTCCCTTCGTCCTGTTCTTAGCTTGGCTTCCGTCCCTGTTCTGTAATGGTTTCTGTGGTTTTGTCAAATAAATTATTCTAGTTTATTAATCTGAGAAAAGTTCCCACCTCCCTTTGATGGCGTCTGGTGTCATTTTGCTCCTTGACCAGCCAGGAGTGCCCGGACAGCTCTGTGGCCAGTGGTCAATTGTGCCACGCTTCCAGATGAACCCGCAGACTGAAACGGGCAGGGAGGTTGTGGGTTCTGCCTCGGCTGCTTCACACCGCACACTTTCTCACGTCAGTTACCAAGGCAAACAAGGCTAAACCTGGTTAACTTCAAGCTTGGTTCCTTTTCCTCTTTTGAGTGTGCTGGATCACTTCGTTTCCGGTTTAATGCATTGTGTGAATGCAGAAAACAGATTAATTCGGTAACCGTGCGAGTCTAGCTGTTGTGCCCATCGCAGGAGGAAGGGTGCAATGGGCAAAGGGATGGTAATGTTCTGAAGACTTGCTGGTCCTCTCCTGGCTTGTGGGACACCTGCATTTCTGGAGATGGAGATTGCTGGTCCAATTAGTGTCATTTTGGACCATCTAAACAGTGGTACAAATGAACTTAGTGGCTAACTATGTCATGTTTTAACCCTGGATCCTACATAATCCATTATCTGGCTTTGCAGAATACCTTAAACCAGGGGTTGTCACATTTAGGAGTACTGCAACACTCTAAAACAGTGTTTCTCAACCTCGGCCGCTTGAAGATGGGTGGACTTCAACTCCCAGAATTCCCCAGCCAGCATGGCTGGCT